GACGCGGCGGCGGCCTGGTCCTCGGTGACCGGCCCCGCCCGGCGGCTATTTATTGTTTAATTTATTTCCGAGGTTCCTCCCGCGGCCGAGAGCGGGACTCCCCACCTGCCTGGGTCTGGGGGGGCTGTACAGTGGCTGAGGAGAGGGGCTGGGCCGCCCCGTGGGGTGTCACCGGCTGTACAGCGGCGGGGGCAGGAGCGCCTCCAGCCTTTAACTTATTTTAGCAGCTGTTCTGCGCCGGGGTGGGGGCCTCAGCTGCGGGGAGGTCTGAGAGCCTATTTTTTATACAGGTATTTCAATTAAATTTGTTTTGTACAAAGCAGGCGCTCCTTCCTGGGCTGGAGGATGGGGCGAGCCCGGGCCCCGGGCCCCGCCCTCCACACGAGGCTTCCCACAGGGCTGAGGGAGGGCGGGGGGCTGGTGGGGCCCGTCCCTGGGTCCAGTGGGTGCCCGTCTGGCCCCCCCCACCCCCCTGCCAGGCTGGCTGCAGGCTGCCTGTGTCCCCCTGCCTGCCCGTCTGCCAACTGCCTCCAGGCCTTCCAGTAATTTCTGCAGTAACTTCCAGTAACTCTGTCGTGCAGGCCCGGGTGTGCCAGTCCTCCCCCGCTTGCCCACAGGCCTTGGGGTGTTCTGAGGGAGGTGTGTCCCTGGCAGAGGGTCTGCTGACCAGAGTGTTCAGGGAGGAATGGGGGTGTGGACAGCCCCTGCTCTGGAGGGGGCGTGCTGAGTCCCTCCCCCCGAGGCTGGGTGGGGTGTCTGCAGGAAGACCCCGGGGCCATTCCCCAGGTCGAGTCGTTGCCCAGCCCTGGGCCCTGCTGTCCCCTCCCGTGTGGGCGGCCACAGCGCTGGGCCTTCGGTAACAGGCCCCGGGGTCCACAGGACGCAGCGACCCCTCCTTGCCCCTCTGGCCCGAGGTGGCCGGCCGCCCGCTTTCTGCTGTCGCAGCCTGGAGGGGCCTTGGCCCCACCTGGGAGCCAGGAGCCATCTGGCCTCCGAGCCGGGTGTCCTGGGGGGCCACACTCGGGCCGGAAGGGACAGGGCCCAGGAGGGGCAGCCCGGGCTAGACACAGGTGCTGCGTGGCGGGCAGGGCGGGCCTGGCACCTGCCCGAGAGCCCTGGGGCCGAGGGGGGGCGGGGAGGGGTGCGCCCTGGACCCCACGCAGGTCCAGCCCTGGCCAGTGGCTGGGCGAGCAGGGTTTGGGGTCTCAGCAGGGTGTCCCAGGGGGCATTGGGGGTGGGGTGGGGGCTTGCACAGCTGGTGAGCCCTAGGAGGAGAAGGGGGTGTGGCCAGGCAGGAGCCGCGGCCCCCGAACTGCACGCTCGAGTCTGCGCAGCCTGAGCAGGACGCCAACGAGCTCTGCGGCGGGACGGTCAGCCACACCGCGTCCGGGCCGGGGGGGCCGGCGGAGGCAGGACGGAGGCTGTGGCCTGGTGTCTGGCCTGGGCACACGGACGGTCCGGGGGCAGAGACGCTGCCAGCCGGCCGGATTCGGCTGCAGCTGCCCGTTGCCAGCGCGATCAGGTTTCTCCAGAGGCCGGCCAGCCCATCCCTGAGGGGCCTGAGGCCAGGGCCCCAGAGAGCCGGCCTGAGGGGCGGCCGGCAGGGGCCTTCAGTGACTGGCCCCACTTGGGGCAAAGTGCCCAGGACCAGGGTCCGGCCTGTGGGCGCCCACGGGAGGCTGCAAGCCCAGGCCTGGGCGTGCGGGGAGGCCCCCTGGCCCTGCCCGCTGGGGGTTTCCAAGGCTTCTGGGGGTTTTCGGGGCTTCCCAGGGTGGGGTCCGGGTCCCCTCACTGCCCTGAGGCGGGGGGGAGGCCTGTGTCCTGGGTGTGCCCGGGACTCAGCTCCCGCTGTGGCTGAGCAGGGAACCCCGGGCCCCCAGCCCGGCCCCCGCCCGCTGTTCCCTGCCCCCTGGAGCTTCCTCACCCAGCCTGTGTGTGACCCCCCACGAGGCCGCCTGTGCTGGCCCTGCCCTCCGGGAGGCCGGTCCACCAGCCTGCTGCAGCCCCCTCGGGTTGTGGGCCTCACCTTTGGGTGCCGAGGCAGGGGCCTGGACCCTTGGGCTCCACCTGCGGAGCCCCCAGGGGCCCCTGGGAGTGCCAGGGCCCCCCGCGGTCGGCGACGCGCCGGAGCAGCAGCCCTCGGGCTGGCAGGGCCACCCCCACCCGGGGCCGGTTGCCGGCACAAGCCCCCAGGACGCACCCAGGCCGGCCGAGGCCACCGATGCCCAGAGCGGGTCCCCGGCCTTCCAGTCTCGCCACCCACAGCGCGCCTGCCCGAGGGCCGGGCCAGTGTCCACAGGGGCCTGGGGGCCCCGTCCTGTGTCTGTGGGGCAGAGGCACCCCAGCCGGATCCCCTCATCCTGCTGCTCCACAGCCCGTGGCCACAGCCAGAGCCCCGCGTGATCACGCTGTGGTACAGCCACGGAGCCGGGCGGGCGGCTGCGTTCACCGGCAGCCCATGCCGCCGGGGCCCCGAGCGGGCTGCGGGGGTGGCGCCAGGCTGGCCCAGCGCCTCGTTGCCACGGGGGGGGGGTGCGGAATGTGGGGTGCAGGTGTGCGATAGGAGGCGGGGTGTGGGGGGTAGGGGCTGGCCGTGAGAAGTGGGGGCTTGCGGTAGCGTCACAAGTGTGGGGTGCAGGAAGTGGGTGTAGCTGTAGGGCCTGGTGAGCGTGTGGGTGAGGGCCTGGATTATTGGGGTGCACGCTGAGGGCTGCTGGCATGGGGGCAGGCACCGGGGAGGGGCGAGGGCTCCCCACGGAACACCATGGCCAAGACGCAGCTTCTGTAAAGTAGCTCTGTGTGCTGCCCGGCCCGGCGTCAGGTTGTCCGGGGGCCGCCGAGGGGCACGAACGACACGCCCTGCAGGACGGAGGCGCAGAAGGAGCAGCAGCGCTTGCAGGGCCGGGCGGGCGGCAGCGGGCTGCGGCACACCAGGCAGGGCGCTGGGGCGTCCCTGGGCAGTCCTGGGGGGAGACGGGAGACGGGGCTGAGGCCGCGCCCGGCCCGACCCCCCCCCCGTGTGGACCTTACCAGGGCCCCAGGCAGTGTCCGCCACTGATGTCATGCCCACCCCACCCAGACCTGGCTCGCTGCCCCAAGGCCACATTGCTGGCCACATCCACCTGGCCCAAGGCCACACCGTGGCCCTGCACCCCCCCCCCCCCCACCCCCCCCCCCCCGTGCTGCTGGCCGGCGCTTGGAAAACCCCAGACCTCTGAGGCCATGGGCTGGGCCTGACGGCTGGGGGTGGGGTCTCGCCCTGCTCGTTCCCCTCACCCGTCCGCCTGCTGCCCACCCCAAGGCTGTGGGTGGTCTGCGGGGGGTGGGGGGGCTGGGAGGGTGTACAGGGAACAGTGGGCTGGTTGCAGGGAGCAGTGAGCGCAAGTTCCCTGAAAACCCGCCTCATCCCCCGCCGGGGCCTCCCCAAAGCCAGCCGGGGCACCCACCATTCTGGTGGGAACAGCTTCAGGCCCCCCGAAGTGGCAGCCCCGCCCACTTGGGGCTCACATGGCACTGAGGGGCTGCAGGACCTGCACTTCAGCGGCCTGCTGGTGCCTGGCCACCTCTGCTCACGGCCCCGCCTGGGACCACCCAGCGCTGAAGCCCTGAGTGGGGCGTGCCCAGCCTTCCTGGGGCCCCTGGTTCCCCAGCTCCGCGCAGGCACCCCGGCCTGAAGTGTCACCTTGTGGGCGCCATTTGTGGGCATGGCACCGATGGGTTCGGTGTGGCAGACGGCTGGGCCACCGAGTGCCTGTGCAGAGCCGGCCGCAGCTTCAGGGCCGGGACGGCTGGGAGCCCAGGCCAGCACCGTGCACCCCGAGGCCGGCCCCTGCAGGTTGGGACACCTCGGGGAGCTGGGACCCCCGTGGAGAAGCTGGCGGCGGTGGGGGGCAGAGGCTGGGTGCATCAGAACCCCGAGTCCTGGGGCGGGCGAGGCCCCGCAGGCACCCTGGAGCCCACCAGCAGCATGGCACCGCCCCAGCAGGAGGCAGGCGCCTGCGGCGAGCCGGGAACTATCAGGCTGCCGGGCAGTGCACCCCACCCCGACATGGCCTGCAGTTGTGCCGGCAGGTCCACTGGGGTGGACCTCTGACGCTGCCGAGAGCCTTGGGGGAGGCCCAGCACCCACTGGGGGGCCCCTTGCAAGGCTGGGCTGGCAGACAGCAGCTACCGCCCTCCTGCAGCGTCCTGGTCCTTCCAGAGGAGGGGCTGGACGCGGGCCGTGAGCGCAGCAAAGGGGGGCCGACACCTTGGCGGGGTGGGGGCCAGGCCGGCGCTGCTGGGGCCCTGCGGGTGGCATGTGTGGTGCGTGTGGACCCCAAGCCCCTCCAGGGACACCCAGGGTGGAAGGAGTCTGAAGACCCCAGCATGGGTGCAGGAGGCAGAGCTGCCCAGGGCTGGAGAGGACCTATCTCGAGTGGGCGCTGTTCAGAAGGGCCGCAGGGCCGGAGGGGCTTATGGGGCGGGGCCGGCGGGGGCGGGGCCGGCGGGAGGGCGGGGCCTGTAGGAGAGGGCGGGGCCTGCGGAGAGGGCAGGGACCCGTCAGGGGCTCCCTGTGGCAGCTGGCCCCGGAGGCCTGTTAGGGCCCTGGCATGTTCATGGCGTTAGGGTGCGATTCCCCTGGCGACACACTGCTGTCCTGGGAAAGGAATCTGAACCCAGCCCGGAGGACACGCTCCTGGGCCGGCCGGCGGCAGCAGCCACAGGAGACAGACCGCACCCCACCCGGCGCGCGCCTGCGTCCTCTGCCTGCCTCCAGCACAGGTCCCTGGCCCGGGGGGAGGGGTGGGGATGGGGGTGCGCAGGAGCCTGCCGACCGATGCTGGGGCACCTCACACCTGTGCAGCTGGCCCGGCCAGTCCAGGCTCAGCTCTGCCTGACTCTTGAGAGCCCTGCACTGGGGGGGGTTCAAAACCAAACACCTCCCACCCCGCACATCCACTGCCAGGGGGCCAGATAGGGCCAGCACCCATCGTGTGCAGGGCGCGGCGGGCAGGGCTACGCGGGCCCCTGGGGCTGCCACAGCGGCCCCCCACCG